CATAGTCGTCCATATAAACTCATGAAGAAATTTGAACTAGAATTGGACTTGCTTGAAGCTATTCATGATTTGGATTCACTTCCACCTTTGAAACACATTGTCTATTTTGTTGAATTATCTTCTTCTCATGCTAAACTTTTACCTTCTACTATGCAGGCACCATTTTTGGAGTTGAAATCTCTCCCAGATCATTTGAAGTATGCGTACTTGGGAGAAAAAGAGACTCTTCCAGTTATCATCTCCAATAAGTTGTCCACTTTAGAGGAAGGGAAGTTGATTCGGGTCCTTAAAAAATTCAAGGAGGCTATTGGGTGGACGATTGCAGACATCAAAGGATTGAGCCCTTCCACGTGTACTCATAGGATATTGCTTGAAGAAGGGAGTAAGCCTTCTCGACAAGCCCAGCGTCGTCTTAACCCACCTATGATGGAGGTGGTAAAGAAAGAAATCTTGAAACTTCTCGATGCAGGTATGATCTATCCAATCTCGGATAGCACTTGGGTAAGTCCAGTTCAAGTTGTGCCCAAGAAGACAGGTATTACAGTAGTAGAGAATTTTGAAGGTGAGCTTGTAGCTTATAAATTTTTCGAAATCATTTTAACTTAACTCGGGATGCTACTATAAAACTCACTTATACAGAAAACTCGTTTTCTTTAAACTGGGTCTAATAACTGGTTTAGACATAAAGAAAACAGAGTATAATCGTCATGCATGTAATATTAACACATGTCACACTAGGGGATCGGGTAAACTTGATAATCTAAAAATACTAGCATGCAAGTTCGATATCTAAAATGTCAACCGAAGTAAACATGTGGCAAAAAATATATATACATACTGATATATACATAACCCCACAAAAATGGCAACTTGGCCGAATCCACGACCACCACCATCATAGCTACTCTCACGCCTCCCGGACCGACCCTGTCATCTGAAAAAAAAATGAAGCAGTGTGGCGTGAGCACGAAAATCCACTATGCTCCGCAGAAACCCAGACTAGAGTAAACATCGATAATAATAACCATATCATGATCATCAGTATATATGTAAACTAAACTGAAACTGAAACTGAAATCATACTATCTTCCGGACTCTGTGGCCGGTAACCATGTGCACACTCTGATGGAATATTAAGGCAACTAGCCTCCACCAGAACTTAGGATGGCATATTAAGGCAACTGTCCTTCACCCTAAGCGGATAATATATATACATACTTCAGACATGATATTTGTATTATACTCAATGTAATACCCAGGTTGGGTCCCCACCTATACTGCTGGAACTGAAAATGTAAGTGCTGGACTGAATAGCTGACTCCTCAAACTACATAAAAATATAAACAAACAAGTACTGAGTACTATGCTCATAATACTCGATTTCATGCTATGATGCTCAATTCTAACTGCTAACTTATCCAGGCTAAATGAAACGATCTAAGGGTTCAACAAAAATTATACTAAGTCCAAAAATAACTGATATAACTAAACTGAAATGATCCGGCTCTTAAAAATACAAAAATTTCATAATAAACTTGGACCTAAATACAAACCAAAAAATACTCGAACTTCCAGTTCGCTAACTGACTTGGTATTACATTGAATATTATATATATATATATATATATATATATATATGTATATATATATATATATATTATCTAAGGTATGTATATATATATTATCCGCTTAGGATGGAGGTCAGTTGCCTTAATATTTCATCCTAAGTTTTGGTAGAGGCCAGTTGCCTTAATATTCCATCAGAGTATGCACATAGTTACCGGCCACAATGTCCGGAAGATAGTATGATTTCAATTTCAGTTTCAGATTCAGTTCAGTTGTTCCTGCGGAGCACCGTTGATCTTTGTGCTCACGCCCCACTACTTTATTCTTTTTTTTTTCAGATAACAGGGTCGGCAGGAAGGCGTGAGATCAGCTGTGGTGGTTGTGGTCGTGGACTTGGCCCAATTGCCATTTTTGTGGGATATTTATATACTTCAGTCTGTATATTTTACTATGCCACGAGATTTACTTCCGCTTACTTTTCAGTTTTAAGTTTTCGAACTTGCATGCTTAGTATTTTCAGAGTTTTAGATTTTACCCGATTCCCCTAGTGTGATCTGGGTTCAGCATTACATGCTTGTTTCATATTCTGTTTTCTTTGTCTACCCAGTTGTTAGTCTTAGTTTAAAGAAAACAAATTTTCAGTACATATAAGTTTTCACAGTAGCATCCTGAGTTATGATTTTGTAAATTTTAAGTATTTTTAGAAAAGAATTTGCGAAAATTTACTTTTATTTTAGTAAGAAAGCGAAAAGAGAGAGAATGCGCTTTAGTTTACTTTTAGGTTTTGTTTTTTAAATAGTTTTTGTTTTATCTGTGTGTTTTAGATTTCTTTTGTGTTCCTTTTTTGTGTTAGTTTTTCATTTTGTTCTCCCATTGGGGGCTTTTTATTCTCTAGTTGTGCGAGCCTCATCTCGTTTTTAGTATTTTGTGTGCTTGCAGTTTTAGGTTGGTTATAAACTACACTTGATTTAGTATTTCCAACTAAATCCAGTTGAATAACTATATTATTGACATGTTTAATTGCTTCTAATATGTAATTGTTCGTGTTCCTATTTATGGATTTTACTATTATTATCTTAAAAAAAATATATCATATTTTTTTTTGGTACAAAGTAAGAAGTCAGAGACCTATGCTAGGACTCGACGGGGGTATGCCACCCCAAAGTTATCATGATCTAACCAAATACCCACACCCACAGGAGGGGATGAGGCACGATGCAATCCCAAAGGATTCTTTGCCAGGCTCGCCATGTGATCAGCTGCAAAGTTCGCCTCTCTATGTATATGCTGAATCTTTATATTCCAGTCCCTTAAAAAAAAATAAAAAAAAATCATATTTAACCAAAAATCACTTCTCCTCATAAGAAAAATAGTTGTAAACGACAATCATATTTCTGGCACAGAAACTAACCATATTTAGATGTGGCCAGGTGCCAGGTCCGGGCCCGGCCCGCCGGGTTGGTGGGCCTCAATTATTGGGCCCGTAACCGGCACGACAATTCCTATGGGCCGGTTCATTTGAACCGGCCCGGCGGTTCGTTGAACCGTCGGGTTTAAAAAAAAAAACAATAAAAAAAACAACTACGGCCCGACGAGTCAAAAATGGATAAAACACGCCCCTTAACCGACCCTTAAGAAATTCAGGGCGGGTCGGGCCGACCCGTGGCCATGTCTAACCATATTATTATGAAACGTGGCCCCTAGGGCTGAGCACGGGTCTCGGAGATTACCGAACCGTATCGAAAATCGAACCGAATTCACCCCGAACCGAAAAATATCCGGTGACCGTTTGACTATCTCCGAACCGAACCGTACCGAAATTTTTTTTGGTACGGTTCTGGAGATTCATAAAATATCCATACCGAGAATCGAACCGAACCGAAAATAACCGTACCGAACAGAGGAACCGAACAAGAACCGATTCTAATTCATAAAATATATATATATATATTATATTGTATCATATGTATTTTTTTCATCTTTATACATAATTGTATTCAAATAAAATCTATACTCTATGTATATGTCCATAAAACTATCATAAGCTATATTTCAAATTGAGTTGCGAAAAAACATCCACTATTGAACGTTAACATAATTTAAAAATGAGAAAATAATTATTTTATTTTGGTACTACTTATGAGACACTATTAAATCCAAGATCTCATTTTTGAATTATTTTTTTTTAAAAAGAAAATTAAATTAATATACTCTTACAAAATTTGATAGCCAACATGTCAAATAGTTTATTAAGAAAATTATTAAATATAACTTAATAAAATTCAAATACCAAATATTTGGGAAACCGACCTTTATAACTTAAGTCTTTCACAAATTTTGGAGAAAATTATTTATTTAAAGGTAATATATTCTAAAATAAAAATAACTTTTAGATTAAGAACGGATATATCGATTATTTTATTTATAAAAATAAATATCTTCACTTTTCGAAAATAAACTTTATATGTACTATATCTGAATCTCACGATATCGGCCGAAAGATATTAATTTATTTAGACATAATATATTTCTAAAATATCCTTTTATTTAACAAGTAACTATCTTTAAATGAACAATTGTTCATTTGCGTCTCATCACTTACGAATTTTTTGGCATATAAACATTTAGCTTATAAATCTTTCAAATTAAATTATGATATTTGCAACTAAAAGATAATTATCACTTTTTATAACATAAAAAAATTTCAACCACCTCTTACTATTAATTGACGAAATATCTTTTGAAATTAAGATAGGTTTATGATTTTCTTTCATCCATGATATGTACCATCTAACATGTAATTAGAAGATTTTATAAAAAAAAAATAAAAAAATAAAAAAATCTCCGAAATCTCTGAAATCTCCGATCCGTACCGAATCGACCCATTAGAACCGAATCTCATTTCGGTTCGGTTCGGTTCGGTCCGGAGATTCATTAGAACCGGTTCGGTTTCAGAGATCCAATTTTTGAAATCTCTGAATTTCGGTTCGATTTTGGATCTCCGAACCGACCCGACCGGTGCCCAGCCTTAGACTGGCCCCAATAAATGCCGAAATTTCCTGCAAAAAAGTGAGAGTGATCATCTCTGGCGATGGTATTGCAAGGGCAATCTCGTCAATCCGAATAATAAAATTGTTGACAACTCAGTGTACACAAATCATTTTTTTCTGTGGGCACAGAGACAGAGACAGAGGCATGTCAGTCAATCTGAAGAGGCAGAAGAATAAACCCCCCCAATTTGCGCCATTCTTATCTATCTCCAATTTTACAGTGAAGACGAAGACCTGAAGAAGAAGAAGAAGAAGAAGAAGAAGAAGAAGAAGAAGAAGAACGCCCCATTTTGGTTAGAGCTTTTTTTCAACCTCCTTTTGTTTCCTCTTTCGTTGTGATTTTTTGTTTTGTAGAAAACGAAAAAAGAAGAGAGAGGGGTCAGTATGGCTATGGTGCCATACGATTCCGACCCCAAATCGGGGCCTAACACCTCCTCGCCGGCATGGCAGGACATGTTCCGATCCGCTTCCATACGAAAACCCGAGACCGCCCCAACCCCCCTTCGGAAGCTCCACGAACCGCCGCCCGATGCGGCTTCCCTCTCCGGCGATCCCCAGGTACGCCTCGCCCTCTACATAACCATGGCCCAAGCGGGGCTCGCCTTCGCGGCCTTCGTCCTTTACGGGGTTTACCGGCTTCTGGAGGACTTTCTGAGGCCCATCCTGTGGGCCGTCCTCTGCTCGATCCCCCTCAGGAGCGTTCAGCAATCCCTCTTTGGATTCTGGTCCGAGCCCCTCAAATTGGGCCTAACCGAGACAGTCCTAGCCGTCCCCGTCGCCGTATTCAGGGTTTTCATCGGGACCCTCGTCGAAATCAAGGACATGGTCCTTAGGGTAACCTTCAGGAGAGAAAAAACCACTTCACCGAGAAAGAAGAAGTCTGGGTTCTACAAACTTCTGAGGTGGCTCGTCTCGTTCTGGCTTTTTGTGATGTCATACGAGAATATTGGGGCTGTGGGCTCTCTCTCACTGCTTGGCTTTGGCTTCATGTTTACAAGCAACACAGTCGAGTCCACTATGACCAAGGTCTCCACCTTCAGGAGCAACAGCTTTCGGAGGCTCCCCCTGAGCGCATTTTTCACTCGGGCCATATTGAAAAGGCTGAAAACATTGGTGGCCATTGGCTTGATAGTGGGCATGATTGTCGGGTCCCTGGCTGGCACCATCTTCTTCTCGTACAAAATCGGCATGGAAGGAAAAGACGCTGTCTTTGCCCTCAAATCCCACGTGCAGGAAAGCAACTATGCCGAGAAGATCGGCTTCCAACAGTGGATGGACGAAAACGACCTTCCTCGGACAGTCGATACGTACACCACCAAGTTTTACGAGACGGTCTCAGACCAGATAGACCGTCTTGCGTTACAATACAACATGACCGAGCTCGTGAATGGTATCAAACATTTCGTGATCGTGAGCCCGCCCGGGAATTCCTCATCCGAGCAGACAGCACTAATGAGCCCATCCCCTTATGCGGATAAATTCCTCAGCCTGAAAAACAGAGTTAGAAAACGTGAATGGGGGCATATGTATTCAGAGGTGGACGCTATATTACGCGAGGCTGTGATTAGTCGGGAGGATCTCGTGCAGAAGGCGAAAGGGTTTGCTTCGCAGGGGATGAACGTGATGCAGGGCGTGCTCGTGAGCGGGAAATCTGTGGTGGGGGGGAGTGCGAAGCTCGTTTTCTTGATCGGGAGCTCGATTTTATCGGGCGCGGCCGGGATTTTCAATTTCGTGTCCCAGTCTATGGTTTTCTTCTGGGTCCTGTACTACCTGATAACGTCCGAGTCCGGTGGGGTCACAGAGCAAGTGATGCACATGATCCCGATTTCTCAGCCGGCCCGGAAAAGGTGCGTGGAGGTGCTGGATAATGTGATTTCAGGGGTACTGTTGGCGACTTTCGAGATTGCTCTGTTTCAGGGTTGTATGACGTGGCTTCTTTTTAGATTGTTCTCGATACATTTTCTGTATGTGTCGACTTTGTTGTCGTTTGTGAGCTCGTTGTTGCCGCTTTTCCCGGCGTGGATATCAACGATACCGGCAGCTATTCAGCTGGTGGTGGAGGGGCAGTACGTGCTGGCTATCTGCCTCGCAGTCATTCATCTAATACTGATGGATTATGGGACAACCGAAATCCAGGAGGATGTCCCGGGTTACAATGCCTACCTCACGGGCCTCAGTATAATTGGCGGCATGACATTGTTCCCCTCTGCTTTGGAGGTAATCTGTTACCCCCCATTTTTACCTTAAGGCTATGTTTGTATTGAGGTATTTTAAATCTCTTGATTTCGAATTTTGTGAAATATAAATTTGCTACTTTCAGACTCCGTGGATAAATTTGTGGAAAGGGTCACAAATTACTAAAATCTATTTTGCGTGAATTTAAAATCCTCCAACTTCTATTATCGTACCAACGTGCATGGAGCTTTGAACTTGTAAATTTGAAATCTATAGACGTCAAATTTCTGATCTCTCTAGTGGACAGAGACATATTTGTGTTACTATCTTCAGTTGGATTTGCTGATTTTTTCTTTGTCCAGCGATTTATTTGAATTAAGCTGCATTGGTTTCTGGATAGTTAGCAGAATCTCTTTGTGGCTAAACTTGTCAATATGTTTAAGAATCTATTAACCTTTTTTTCTGAGAAGTAGAAATTAATTAAATCCAATGGTTTCATCTCGTTCTTGTGCACAAACACATTGTTCTGTTATTATCTTCTTCTGTTTCATTTGCTCCATTGTGTGATCATATGCAGCTGCAGGACTGTGTCCTTGATTATTATTTGATTAATCTTTATGCATTGTAGGGAAAATGATTGATTTGTCAGAATCAAGCTTTATTATTAACTTCTCGCTGTTTAGCAAAATAATCCTTCTGTGGCTGAACTTGTTGTGTCGATATGGTTAATACTACTCTTGTTTTTAGTTGAGGAATTTATACGCAAATACTTTTCAGGGAGCAATAATGGGGCCCCTGATGACGACTGTCGTGATGGCTCTCAAGGATTTGTACGTGGAGTTCGTTCTTGAAGGAGCCGAGGACAAAAGCGAATAGGTAGGCTCGAGCTGTATTCTTATTAAATGCTTCATAGTGATTGTATAATCGCTTGGATTTTGCCTCGTGGGAGGTAAGTGTTGATGGCAGGAGCTGGACTCGGTAGAGATCTGCACACGCCTCGTACATGAAACATCGAAAATCGTTTGATGGTTTGATCCCATTGTTTGTTAATTGTTAGACAGCAATCAAGAAAGTATATTTCGAGTGTAATTCTTTATCCATTCCTTATACAAAATTTTGAGTGTAATTTTCTTATTCTATTGAGTACAGTTGATGTGTATCGAGTATTTATAATGAACTGTAAGGGTGGATTTGGTTAGTTTGTTTTTGTTATAGGGCATGATTGTATCATAAATGCGTTTCCCTCGACATATTCCTCA